AGTAGTAGTAGTAGTGATAATAATATGCAGTTTCAAGTTTTCAGAAGTGCAGGGCTTTAGTTTCGAGGCTGGGGATTCGTGAATCATCGGGGCAGCAGCAACAATACTGACAAGAACGAGATCAGGAACACTGTCAATAATTAAGCAGGGTGTAAGGATAGTTGCTGTAGAACATGATTGTTGTACGCTAATCCTCTGAGAGCTGTGCCAGCAGCATCTGTACCACTTTGAACTTGTGACTCCTTGGCCAGTTTGACCGATGTTATCTACAAGCATGTCCCTGAACGACGACAGAGTCCGCAACGTTGCGGTCAACAGTTCAACAACTCAACACGGCACTCTGAAGCCCAAATCACCTCATTCCTGGTTTGCTCAGGGATGCCGTGACAGTTTAACCCTACCTGGACCTCCAAGCTACGTAGAATAATGGCCTTTTTGACTGGCTCTATGGTTGTTGGACGATTGTTTTACCCACGTGGGGGTTCAGGTACCAGCTCAGCACAAGGAAGTTACCTTAGAGTGGTGTGCGCTGTGAGGCTTCGGCTGCACGGCTACGTGCAGGGCCGTTTCGACGGGAATGCCGCCAATCTCATTGACATCGGCCTGTGAATGGAGAACCCAATGGAGGAGTTCCTGTAGGACTTTGAATGCTTTAGAGTACAAGGCATTGTCAGGGGTATAGTCATGCCTGCTGTTCCCGTAATGGGCGGACACACACAAAAAAGAAGCGGCCTCGTACTGCACGAGAAGCTTCACGGCTTCTCTGTGCCCATCCCGTGCAGCGTACATGATGGGCGGCTGCCTCAGACTCTTGGAAGCTTCTCAGATTATCTCAAGACGCCCGCCAAAGATCAAGACCAAGCAAAGCCAAAGGCCTCGTGACGTCCCAGAAAGCCCAAAACTTTACCCCACACAAATTTCCTGCAAGCAGACGCAGACAGCGTCCTGTCCAATCCTGGATCAATATCCATTCACCTTTTTACCGAGATGACGTCTATTTTTGCCCAAGCTGTTTCAAAAAAAGGGAAAGGCCGGCATACCTGCGCAACCATTCCTGCACCAAGAAACACGAGCTCTTTCTATCCGGGGCCTTTTCCCTCCAAGGCCAGCACCATGCTGAGGAACCCTCAGAAGCCAGGGCTCAAACTCGACCTCGTCAATGCTATCTTGGCCGCCAGCAGGGACGCCGAGTTGAAGGAGTCCCTGGGCGGTATACTTGTCACTTCAGATTAATTACTTCCAGAACCTCAAGTTGAGCCAACTTCTGACATGTCTTGCATAAACCTCTATTGAGGATGATGTCGGGTGAGTTCGTAAAAAATTTGCCCATGTGATAACTTGATTTGATAACAAACCAGCATGTATGAAAGAGGTGTTTGAAGTGTAGTTGAGGTGTCGCATACTATAGCTATGTCCTGTAGGGAGTGCAGGGGCTGTCTTGGAAGGTTCAGCTTTTCATGCACTCATATTAAACAACGGCCAAGGTCAAACGACTCCTAGACTTTGTTTGGAGGTTTAAGGTGACTTGAGCAATCAATAATTGTAACACAGCCAGATCAATTTGAGAGTGAACCCACTAACAAGTCCCAGACGTCCTTGAAGGCAACAACATCGGAACATCAGCGTTGGTTGTTTCTCATACTCTGCTGCCTTCAGGTGCTGCGACTCAGAAACCAGGAGAAATCATTGATACGTCCTATCCGATCCTTTGAAGCCTAAAGCGCTACATTCTACATGTTGCTAAGCCTACTGAGCCCCTAATGTATTGCTGCCTTTGGATGTGAAGCTGCTGTCGTGCTGACATTGGAGAAAACATCACTGCGTAGTTCCCAAGTCATTCCTCAAGTTGCAATCTGCAACTATCCCAAAGGGTCCAAGGACCCAAGCACCCTATTATTTGGGTCCTTGGACCCTTAGGGTATAGGTCGGAACCGCGCACTTCGTGCCTTATGCAATGTGCAAAGTCAGAGGATACTGCAGGTCAAAGGTCCCATGCTTTCTGGGTCCGCGTTGGTCGCAGAAAGCGCTCAAGCAATAGCCCCAAAACTCTAGAAAACAGCACGGCACAGCAAGCAATAAGCTGTCCAAAGTCATAGCTGGGCTTGATATCATCACGATGTAGCTGCCTCCATACCCCAGACTGCCAGTACGAGCTAATTAGTCACAACAGAAATAAGTTTAGGGCTTAGGGTGAATAGTAATCATTCTCATCGTAATTGCTGGCCTTAATGGTAATGACAGGTACACCTGGAAACCCTAAAACCCGAGCCCTACATCCCAAATCCCAGAGGCTAGAGGCCCGCCTGCATAGCTTCAAAGTCGCCCTTGGAAGCCAAATACCTGACAAAACTGGAAACCGGCCTTATTTCAAAGGGAGATTCTCAAGGAATAGCTGCAATTGCTTGGCGGTGCTGCAGTGGCAAAGGAGCGTGGGGGCAGGGGTGGCGGATATGGGCTACCGGGTGATTCAAGCTTGAATTTGTATCAGACAAAGTCAGTGCGTCATCTACGGTACTTCCATGAAATCTTATGCTGTACCCGTTTCTTGCCAACTTCTGGTACCTTGGTATATCACAGACATCCAACAGAAGTACCGATTCTAGACCTTCTGCGAATCCTGCTCCAACCTAAAACAGAAGCGGCCAACCATAAGCAACAATATCCATAACCTTCTCCATTCTGTAAGAACTGTCCTATCCTCGGCTGAGAAGTGTCGCGAAAACAGAAGAGCCTGCTTCCAACACGTTATGCTTCTTCAAAGCGTTCGTCCTATCAAGTAGCTGACACACTGGGCTTCCTTCCCACATCTTGTGCAACCTTTGCATCTCTTCTTCCCTTCTGACTACATGTTCGAGCCCTGAATAAGTAATTAATCAAAATGAGCTGAGCTTAACTTGTGTTTCGACATCGCTGCTGGCCCCTTCTGTATTCATCTTGCTAGCTTTGCTGACACGCTTCGTCAACAACCGGAGAGGGCCTGAGATAGGCGTATCCTCCACCGAGCCTCGGCAGGAAGAGGCTGACTCACAGGCTCTGCAAAATCCTGACCACATAGCTGCCAGAAAAAGAAAGCGAGCGAGAGAGAGAGAGAGGGAGAGAGAAAGAGGGAGAGAAAGAAGGGGGAGAGAGGGAGGGAGGCAGGGAGAGAGATTGAGAGAGAGAGGAAGATAGGGAGATAGGAAGATATGGAGAGGGAGAGAGAGAGAGCGAGAGAGACGGAAAGGGACAGAGGGAAGGAGTGTATGTGTTGCTCTCGCCTTCTGTTCTTCTAGCTCTCAGGGGATTAAGGTGCCGGCCGACCGGGAGGGATCAAGAACCCTCGCCTGCTAAGTGACTTTGCGACCCTCTCCTCTAGGCTGTGAGCAGTCGGCCGATGAAGCTCAAATGTCAAAGAGCCCACGCAGAGGCCCCACCATAGTTGTTTTGCAGGTGGACTGGATGCTCTTTTGCACTTCCAAGACGCGGTTCATCCCAAGCGAAGGTTTCAGGTGGCAACTGGATGCTACAGTTGCACTCTTTCAAACGAGCTCCTCTGATAAGTGCCTCGGGAATCCGCTTGATAGTTGCGATGCCGCTCGTACGTGTGAAGACACCTGCATTGTCTGAAGGTCTTTCCCCATCAAGGTGGAGCAGCCCTTGTGATCCAGGCTTCCTGGCACGAATGCTTCAACGAGGCAGCAGGAAACGTTGCGGGGAGAGTTTCCCTAGGTGTCTGGTGGCCAGATCCAGCCCGGAAGCTCTTTCCCAACACTAGGGGTCCCTTGTCGGGGCCCCTATAATAAGGAATATAGTATTTTGGGATCTATATTGGAGTCCCTAAAGTTTAGGAATATAGTTTTTGGGTCTATAATGGGGTCCCGTAACCTTTGTGACACACTGACCCTAGACCCTAAACCCCTAAACCCCTAAACCTCTAAACCCTAAATCCCCTAAACCCCTGAACCTCCAAACCCGAAACCCCTAAACCCTAAACCCTAAACCCCTAAACCTCTAAAACCTAAACCCCTAAACCCTAAACCCCTATAAACCTTTTGCTTGCCCGCATCCAGCCGTTTGGCCATGCTGAGCCGCCAGCGGGAAAGGCCACAGGAACTTACGGAGGAAGGCAGCAGTCTTCTCAAACTGGCCAATGGACCCGTAGGGGCTGTTGCAGGGACTATGTAGGAATATATATATATATACACACACATGAAAAATGTGTATTTATGTGTACGCATATGTATATTTATATATAAGAGATATAGGGTATATTGTGGAGATATAGGTGGTCTTCAGGGTTCGGTTGTCTTTCGAGACTACCAGTTCTGTCTCCACTTTGAACAGCTTCCGGTTTGCAGGAATGAGTTCCACGCGATTGTTCCAAAAGCTTGGTTGCTGATTAAGTTACGTACCATAATATGGGTATATTATAGAGGGTTTCCATAGTATGGTAGCTTAATTCAGGTTCCTTTCCGCAACCAAAAAAATAGCGTGTGAAACACGACTAGTGAATAGCCAAACAAAAAACATCAGAATTTCGACGCGCGCCTCCTTTTTCGAACCAAGTGGATTTGACATACAAGCTACAGTCAATATTTCCTGTACAAGTATTGGACATGGTTCCTTTTGCGGAAAAGGTTGTTATAGGGACTATACTTTTCATACTATACTAGACTACACAGGAACCCCTATGTCCACCCTTAATGGTCCCCTGGTAAGCCCTAATCATGCGTTATACTGATGGTAGCTCCTACATCTGAAGTTTAAAAACTGTGCAGGGTGGACGGCGCGGATGATTTCCTGAGCAGTGATGGAGCCACTGTCACACAGCTGCGGCACTTGCTCGACATGTAGTCTGTGCTCTTGGGTTTCGGAGAACAACATGCCCCCTTTGCAGAAACCATAGATTGTCGCCGCGGGTGCTCGAACTCAGATAGGATTCGGGGGCCAAGATACCGCAACCGGCAGACGGGCGGTTACTACGCCATATCCACCACCGCCACCACAACATCATAGAGCAACTGCATAGCCACCACCACAATCATACAACAACTCATTCTGACTTCTACTTGTATGGCTACTGCGTCTATTGAACTTTCATGAAGATTGCAGGCTGATCGCCGTCCTTGCGCGCGGCCGGATCCTCGAAGTTGGCCTGGGTCACCTGCAGTTATGATGAGGAGGAGGTGCAGGAGGGTGAGCGATGTTTCCATGCACCCTATACTTTCCATTTCGCTTTCCACGTTCTAGTCCCATTTGATTCTCCACTGTTGGGTTTAATAAAGCTTTCATCCCTTAGCCTGAACCCTAAATGATCCTTATACGTCCAGCGGGAGTAAGGAGGCCGGAGTCAGTTGGGACCATAAAAAGGGAATGTTGAAAAATAGGAGAGCATAAGAGGCTTCCCAAAATTGAAGGTACCTTTTTGGGAGTCCCTGCAATATGGATTATGATATTGTGGGCTCTACATTTGGGGACTCTTATTTAAGGAAACGACCACATCAAATGAGTTCCCCCGACTCAGCATCAATCAATGTAGTTGTTGTGATATCTGATTGGGAACCCTCAACTCTGCCCAAAATTATGAAGAATGATGTCCCGCAGGTGTAATATGTTCACAGCTGGGAGCTGTTGGCGATGCTTGTTGCAACTAGGACATCTAGACTCTAGAGCCACCCAGACCTGATTATTGAATCCCAAACACGAAGCCCCAAGCTAAAAGCAAACCAATTCGAATCCATTGCCCCTGCACTGCAACACTCAAACAGGGTAAGGGACAAGAGCGTGCGTGGCACAACAGAACACAGCCGAGGACTCCACGAAGCCGCTCCTCATTGTCCTAAAGTCGGAACACTCCGTCGACCTGCACAACTGTTGCTGCTTGCAGCTATTATTACTGGTCCTGTTTAATTCAAACTGAGGAGCTAAAAAAAACGCCCGGGACCTCCTAGGACTATAGGACCCGAGGAAGTGTCTTAGGAAAAAGCATTCAAGCACTGGGCAAAACTATCACTTCTCCTAAGACTTGGGAACTCCTTGCACGGGAAGTATATGTCCATAGGCCCTAAGAAACGCTGCCAACGTGTCAGCCTTGAAGTCTTCTGCTTGACGACATAGCTTTCATTCAACACGTCACTAAATTCTTCTAACCAAGCCCCGTAGTGACAAGCTCAAGTTTGTGCTGGAGTCGGTCTCAGGCTGCACGCATTCTAGGAGAGGCCTGCTGAGCACCATCATGTTCATTCACCAAACCTTTTCAAACAAGCTTAATGCGTCTTTGGTTGATTTTCAACCCTTTCCTCCAAAAGCGCGAGTGTCTGGCATGAAATCTCGCAGACAATCATCTCGATCAGCTGTGAGCTTTGATGCACAAGCTTTTGGCTGCCGGAACATGACTGCTGGAGTGGGTGAAACTGCCATGCCAGCACGTGCTTGGCTGACTGCAATGACCCTGCTCCTGGTCGCAGGGGTGTGACGCCCCACTCTTCTCTCAGGCAGCTGTATGCGCCGGGACTGATCCCCATGCAGTGCACGCAGCGCCCAATGGAGGAGCATGGAGGAATCATGTTCATGCCACGCACACGCGGCCGCACTTTTTAAAGAGATTGCCAGAAGCATCGCTGGTAGCCGAGCTCTGCTGCCAGCTCAGACTGCATCTGCCAGGGCCACTGCAGACTCGTCTTGCATCGCTGACGTTTGCTTGTTCATGGCCGTATCTTGGTTTGCAATTTTTTCTCATGCCGCATTGTGGCTTCGCGCAGCATCATGTCGTGCCGTGGGGCGTCACTGGGGAAGGGGTGGAAACTGAAGTCCCCGTCACCGCTTAGATGGCTGTTGCTTGGTCTGAGCTGAAGTTGCCTCCTCCCCATGGATCCCGCGCCACTCCCATGATGCCGTCAATCGGCTGCTACTTCGCCTGTGGAAGACATCTTGCGCTATTTCTGGCACTTGGCTACTGCAACTCCAGGGATCTACGAGACACTCTAGGTAGCGCAAGCACGTCCACCGCAAACAATATTGGTGATGGACAAGCCCTGCGCAACCCTAGAGATCTGAAGATTGGAAAGTCTAGTAATCTATTACGGGTCATGCAGCATCTGCTTGGGAGGCGCCTCAATGCGAGGTGCATCGAGGTGCCTAGTGACTNNAGTCACTAGGCACCTCGATGCACCTGGCATTGAGGCGCCTCCCAAGCAGGTAGATCCCATTCACACAGGTGATCTTCCTGCAGGTCATCAAGGACTTCCAAGCTTTTGCAATCTCTGGCATAACCAGGAAGGCGGCCAACTGGGTAGTGGGCCATGGAAGACCACGGTGTGCTCCGCGCAGGCCGTGGCTCTGGATCCACAGCTGCCGAGTCTCGGCCATCAAGGCGTTTCGGCCGCGGACGGCAGCAACCGAGGTGCGCGTAAGATGCGCCCATCGGACGGCTCCTCCCCTAAAGGCTACTATAACTGACTGCTAGATGCTGTGCTGATGCAAGCGCTTTATTCGTGGAGATAGAGATATGCTCTTGCAATCCGCTTGCGGTGGCTTATCTCTTTCTGTATTCTGTTCTGGAACTTGCTGCGATGCGCGGTGAGATCTGCACCTCCACCTCTCTGCATGATGAGTTCAGTTGCGAATCGCGCTGCCCATCCCTTCACCTATGGCCTCTAGGACGAACATGCTTGGAGGTGGGGTCCGCAAGCGTAAGCCCAAACCAGCAACTTGAAGAGAAAGGTGGCGTCTCCCACATTCTGCACGCAGACCCGGATCGTGGCCTGAGAAACTTTTGCGAGTTCACGGCGAAGTATGCTCCTCCGCCACGGCAAGGCTGTGTGTCTTGTACATCTCAAGTACTACCATGACAAGGAAAGTCTCCAAGGAGAGATGTCTGGCTTTGAGATGCCACCATGTCAAGACATATCTTTCAGATGACAATCGGTTGCAAAGTGCCTCCTGGCTTGCGCCTTACTGTAAGTGATGCTTGTTCCAATTGGCATTCTGCGAAGATCAGCGGAAGAGCATGAAGCCTGTCCACCCCCTGTCCCCCCGGCTCCCAAAAGGCAATAGCTCATGTGAATCTGCAGGTCTAATCCTCCTCTTTCATACTCGGTGGGCTCATCCGCTGAGACCATGAAGATCACCTGTCAGGCCAGGAAATCACCACAAGGGTGGCTGCAGCTTTCAGCCATTCCGAATGTTTGCAGCATGTAATTACAGAACTACCCAACGCACTCCAAGCCTGGAACATGCCGCTCAAAAAACATGTGTGCGTACCACAGTTTGACACCTTCACACTGCGCCTCAACTATGGCGCCTCTCAGCTGTTAGGCAACATGCTTGGATGACATGTCTGTGTTGTTGAGAGCACTCAAGAGTGGCCCTCAAAGATCAGGCCGTTGTCTCTTTGTTCTCGAGGCTACCGCAATGGCGTCTAAGGCCACGGCAGGGCCGTCGCACTTCCTCGCAAGCGCAAAAGCACGACAGACGGCTTGGGGGGTTTTGAGCTCTTACATGCCCTTGTCACCCCTTTGCCGGCACATGTAACACCACCACCATTGCATGCATACTATCTTCAGTCACCGGCGCACTATTCTTCCTCTGATGTTTGTGCCACTATCACCATCATGATATCTTCTGTTGTGCTTGCCTTCTGGCCTATGGCAGCGCTACCACCCCAGTCATTATTGCAGGAGTGTCAGTCGTGTTCCTACTTTTATGCTGGCCTGCCACCACTGCGACAAAAAAATGCAGCACAGTTCATGACAACAGAATGACCTGCGGTCATGGCTATGCTGCTGTTAAGCTGCTACAGTCTTACCGTGACCGCAGCCATGCCGGCTATTGCATATTTTGACTTGACGCTCGCAAGTATGAAGCTTGTAGAGCCTCCCGTGTCTTTGTATCACTGGCCCGCATTGAAGGCTCCAAACGACTAGAATGAGTCCTCCCTGCGCAATGTGCAACTAAGTAGAAGATCCCTGTCAACACAGCTTCCACTGAATGCAAGACTGCGAACAAGGTCCTCCAGGCCTAGCAACGCCGTCAGATCTACACAAACACCTGAAGAAATGTCTTTGCGCAGCTCAGGCCCAAGCTAGCAAACTCTGTTGCGAAGAATGTTGCTCGAAAAGCTGAAATGAGCCTTTCCATATAAAAAAACCCTCAAGCACATAGAGCGTGAGCTCTTCATGGCAAGCCTACAACCTGATACGTTGAGCCTCCTGTCCTACAACTCCACTATGGATGCCGTCCGCAGAAAGAAAACTTTGGAAAAGAAAGCCATTACTGCCAAATCGAACTGTGCGTTGCCCGACCTGTCACCCCACAGTGTTTGGGACCAGTTTTACATCGTAGGGTCCTGTATCTACATCTACCATGATCTCCTCTCCCTCTTTGGCCCGGGGGCCCCACATAATCAGGCGCTCGGGGTCCACTCCGTCCCAAAGGCCCAAGCGATGCAGCAATGGACTGGTCATCCTGGCTCTACGATTTGGGTTAGGGTCCGGGTTTAGGGTTTGGGGGACCCCTATGCGGTGGATGTACAAAATCCTCAAAGACCCAGACCCTGCTTGCAGGGTCAGGGAGACTTTGTACCAGCAAGTAGGTTAATAATGGGAACAGCAAAGTTATCATATGGCCTGTAGAGCTTATAATTACTAAGTCCCGCTGACTCCCTAAGTAAGTCGATCATCCTGGACAGTTGCTCCCAATTCTGTCCCTCCTTGGGATTCCTAATAACTTACCTGGCCGCCCTGGCCGCCTAGCCTCTCACAAAGAAAGTTTACTACAAGCACAAAGGATCCAATCCAAGGCCATGTCATTGGCCCTCAAATGTTCACAGGCCGTACAATTCCCAAGCAGCTTGGCTTTCTCGTGTGCTATGCACTGTCTGGTGGCACAGCTTCGTTGCTGAAGCAAGTTACCACGAGATTGCAACGCCTCACCATAGCAACTTGCCAAAAATCACCTTGAAATTGATGGGAGGATGTGAAAAGCTGAGGCCACCTACATCGTCCAATCCTGGAGAGTCAACTCGGCGACCCCAAATCTTGAAAAGTATACAATATACTCATTTTGTGAAGGTAGTCAAGGCGGTGCCTTCTCAAAGCCTTTGAAGCAATATCTTCACTAAGCTGAATCTAGCTTCGCCTGTGGCATTGGCTAAACGCAAAACCGCAATCTTGCCCGATTCTGTGCATTGGGATGCCCTTATGCAGCTTCATCAGGCAGAGGTGTACGATTTCGAGAACTCGCAAACGGAAAAAGTGATCAAGTCTGCCAAGGCCCCAGCACTGCGCATCCGAACTCAGCCCCCAAGTACTCGGCGCCTTTGCAGCTCAGGCTTCTTGTTGAAACCGAACTCCTCTTGAAACACAAGGGCAATGGTGGGGCGGGCAGAAGCTGAACACGGCATGATTGTAATAATTGATAACCTAATAAATATTCAACCTCCTCCAGTAGAGGTCTCTCATGCCCAAGGCAGCTGAGACATGCACCGTAGCAAGCAATCCAGGAGCCCCAACCAAGCCCGACGATGCCTATCCTGCCCAGGAGCCCAATTGTTGGTGGCGTCAACTCAGGCAATCTGTGGGCTTTCCCTAAATGGGGGTTGTCCAATATTC